TACATAAATGTTTTTTTTATCTAGTCAAGATGTACTCAGATCTGTTGTTGTTACATAAATGTTTTTTTTATCTAGTCAAGATGTACTCAGATCTGTTGTTGTTACATAAATGTTTTTTTTTTTTTATCTAGTCAAGATGTACTCAGATCTGTTGTTGTTCAGTAGTTACTGTCATTAACATAATTAGTATTATTATATAAATACTTATTTAATTATTACTCTTTCTTCTGTCGGCAGGGTATCCGATATATTTCTTGAATCTATTGGAGTAAATTTAATGAATCTTTACACGAGTGTTCATATATATGAGAGGCAATGTGCAACAGCTTTGAATTTTTTCAGGCGTTCAATCGACCGGTTAACCGCGGCCTTACTGGTACATATTTTGCCAAAATTCAGCCTTTTTTCAATTTGTTTTCTCATTGGAGAAGATGGCTGCCATATACTGGCTTCAGATTGGTTAAAATCTAGATATCATCTGATCTCAAAGAAAGGTGGTACATTTGTAAACAGGCGTGGTTTTACACCGGAAACACAATTGCACCTTTCATTTTATTTCCCTTTCTACAGGGATTTGTTCTAGGTATCGCTCTGATGAAAGGATATTTGGATGTTATGAAACTGTTGGTGAAATGGGGAGCAGACATAAAGGAAGTAAGTTCCACATATCATGTAAGATGATGTCAGTCACTTTTATCTTCGTACATAGTCACCATTTATCTAAATTGTTATTTGATGTAAAGATGATTTCCTAAACACATGTTAGTGTTACTGATACTTTAATGTTGAGTAAAGGCATGTTATATGCCGTTCTGATATATTTGAGATTGAATCAAGGCTCGTGGTTGTTATTGTGCATTTTAATGTCTTAACATACAGGTCAAATGGTACATGCTTGCTAATCTAACATAACAAAGGTCAATATCAGTCAAAGATAATACTATGACTAAAATAATAAATATCATGAAAGTGCATTTTCTAAATTAAATGTGGCATTAACTGCATGTGAATTGAAACGAATGATGAAATATTTGCATCAACTGTGGAAGTCTGCTGACGATCAAGTCGCCATGACCTTTTACACTTAAACCTAACAAGCGAAACTTCTGTTGTAGAAACATATCTAAATTTGTGTGACTACCATACCGTAACACTCCCGTAAATAACGTCATCAACTGAGAGGATGAACTATGTTTAATATTTGTATTTGTATGATGCTTAAAGGTAGTAATGCCTTTTGTAGAAAAGATTATCATTATGCATTTCACTTTGCATTACTTTACAGGGCAGTGTACTTGGATTTGCTACGATTGGTAGTGATGTGGCAGCCAAAAAGATTATACTTCAAAAACCGGATGGAAACAATGTAAATATATTATAGATGATATATATCTTTAATATGTGGTGTAGATGGTGAAGGTTGGTATCCTAGGTTACCAATGGTTCTTATTGCTGATTGTATGTACAACATTCATGCTATAAGGTTAAATTATAAAATAATGGAATGAAGTGAGAAGTAATAAATCATATAATCATGTCAAAAAATCTATTTCATCTTGCTTGTTGGACATATTTGTTGTCAGTTAGTAAACAATACCTTTGATTTAGAGAGAGGGTACCCTATGTAATCTTTGTTTCACAAATATTATATTTACTGTAAATTTGATTCAGTGTGGCAATTTGGAGTAATGTTTGCTAATGTTTGCTGTTATTTGTAGTTGCAATATCAACAGAAATTTGATACAACATGTTACAGTGGGGACATATCTACACTGTATTTCTCTGATGCAGGTAATTATAACTTACCACAATGTATTTGCTTTGTATGTAGCTGGGTTTGTCAAGTAAATAATTACTGAACTCCTCTGTGATCCACACTTTTTATTAGGACATTGTGAAGGAACATGTACATGTAGTACAAAGAATGGAACATGTAATACAAATGCATTGCTTGGTATTATAACATGAATAATATACAATGACTAAATTACTTACCAGGAAATCAGGTGTGTTCTGGGTGCCGGTGTCATATTATATTTGTATCCCCTATCATAAAAGTACTCGGATACTTTTTCCCTCTTCAGAAAAGTATCCCCCCACCCCCTATAGTATTTGTATCCTCCCTTGAGATCAATACTATAACTTTATCTGTTTTACAAATTTGCTGTTTATACTTAGGTTGTTGGTCAATTAGATGGCCTCATATGTAACCCTGGTAAAATACTAGCCGCAATATACCACTTGGCTAGAGAAAACTTCTCTTTAGCTCGATTGGTTGAGCATGAGACTAGTAAGCCAGGAGTCCCGGGTTCGGTTCCTAGCGGAGGCATTGAGATAAAAAATAACCTCTGTTACACATATATCAGGGGTACCCATACAGGGGTCCAATTAACTGATTACACCTGGTCAGGTGTTACATGACACCTGTAGGCAGAAGGTGGGGCCAATATCAGCAGGTTATAACAGCTTGTTTACCTGTAGAGTAAGTAATTACTTACCTGTACAAGAATAATATATTATTTGAAAATTCAAATTACAAATATCTGAAATATTAGGGGGGATACATTTAACTGATGATAAACCTCCCCTAGATACTTTTCTGATGACCATCATATATGTATCCCCCTATATATATGATAAAACTCCCCTAGATACTTTTCTGATGACCATCATATATGTGTCCCCTCTTATATATATGATAAAACTCACCTAGATACATGTATGTTTACAGTATCATAATTATATAAGGCAAATGCCATACAAATATATTACACGCCTTTGTCAAAAATAAGATTGGATTTTAGATATATGTGTGTAATAGATTTTAGAACTGCCAGTCATCAATAATTGGGCTCATACATTTGATATACAAATTTTATACACATCCATACATTATATAGTTTTAGCTTATGAAGATGATGTAATTACAAAATGAGAAGGTAGAGAAGTTTGGTTCATCAGTGTCTTTATGTACAGTTTGATAGACTGAAACACAGGTAAATTTACCTGTACCCAGCAGGTCTCCTCACTGGCAGGTGTGATCCCTGCTCTCCTCTTATATAATACATGTACTGCTTGACCATGGCCAGGTGTCATTAACTAATTACCTAGTTATGTTACCATGACACCTGCACAGTTACCATAACTATTTTTGTGGTTGTCTTCCTCAAATGAACCTTGTACAATGTTAATGAAAAAAGATGTTGAAGGTGGATACAAATACTATAGGGGATACTTTTATGATGGGGGATAGAAATATGATATGACACTGGTCAAGTGCGGAGTGAATAGACTGGCCAGATGAAAAAGAATAGTAGACAATGCAGCCCATGAGCTACTCATACACTCACTTAGTTACACAAATATCATTCACAGCACGTGCATAGTATGCGCGCTGGTAACATCAAGTTCATCCGGTTACATGCAGTTCTGTTCAGACTCCCCAGGAACAAAAACCCGACTTCCCAGAAACAAATACTCAACTTCCCTGGAGCAAATACCTGACTTACCAGGAACAAATACCAAACTTCCGAGGAACAAATACCCAACTTTCCAGAAACAAATACTCAACTTCCCTGGAGCAAATACCTGACTTACCAGGAACAAATACCAAACTTCCGAGGAACAAATACCCAACTTTCCAGAAACAAATACTCAACTTCCCAGGAACAAATATAAGACTCTCCAGGAACAAATGCCAGTCTTTCCAGAAACAAATACCCAACTTTCAAGAAACTAATACCTAACTTCAAAGATACAAATACCCAACTCCCCAGGAACAAGAATCAGACTCCCCACGATCAAATACCCAACGAAAGCCAGACTTTCCAGGAACAAATACCTGACTTACCAGGAACAAATACCAAACTTCCGAGGAACAAATACACGTCTCCCCACTAACAAATACCCAACTTCCTAGGAACAAATACCCAACTCCCTAGAAACAAATACCCAACTCCCTAGAAACAAATACCCAACTCCCTAGGAACAAATACCCAACTCCCTAGGAACAAATACCCAACTCCCTAGAAACAAATACCCAACTCCCTAGGAACAAATACCCAACTCCCTAGGAACAAATACCCAACTCCCTAGAAACAAATACCCAACTCCCTAGAAACAAATACCCAACTTCCCAGAAACAAATACCCGACTTTCCATCTCTTCTTTGTACCTTGTCATGTTTGAAAATTAAATTTTTTTGTATTATGTTATTAATGGAATGATATTACTTCAGGAAATATTATATTCATCAAATGTTGTTCAACCTGCTTAGAGTTGATCAGTCGACATTGATCTATTTTTCTGGTGACAACTGTTAATTACATTGCTAAAACATTGTACTTGCTAGGTATTTCAAATTATTTCAAGATATAACTTCCTATGGTGTTATACATTGTTATTATTATTATTATTATCATTATTATTATGACATTCTTAACAGCCTGTCAACACATAAAAGGTCATTAGGACCATCAACCAGTATACATGGATTGAATCTTGATTTGTTATATTTTAAAGTACACAAACATGATCCTATCATAGAAGCTTTAGTAAAGATATACAATACATATAATAGCTATGGAATTTTTTTATTTTGTCTCTTTTTCCTTCAAAAGAGGTTTGAAATATTTTATTATCAAGGTGTTGACAGAGATATGTCTAGATAATGGTAGGCATGGTGGAAATACAAAAGATAAGAGGAATGTTTTTTATGATAGGTTGACCATAGGATGATTCAGCAGTATTTAGCAGATACTGTTCATTTGATACCACTGAAAGATAAGCTACATGAAATATGGGACAGAACGTGTCTTGCAGTATAAGTAGTTCTTTACTTGTTTATTGAAATACTACATATCATATTTGATATTGATATCAATTTCCAAATGTGAGTTTATATTACTAGTGTAGTGGTTTTGTTAACTTATTAATTAAAGACATGTAAGTAGTTGCATTGCATTGATTAAGGGTTTTGCCATGAGGATCATTCATTAAAGATGAAGGAAATTACTAAGAAACTCGGAGCAATGACGGATGTAGTTCCTACATTGTCAGTATCTTTCCCCGAAAGGACAGAAACTGAACAACTAAAAATTACATATGATGAACTAAACGAGACCAAGGAAAAGTCATGTGATGAACCAAATAGATGTGAGAAATGGACAACAGGTAAAGTTATATTTTTTATCAAGCTTCATTTGTAGGGGTGGATGAAGAGTCTACCTTGTGTATTCATTGTCATTGTTCCTGGAGATTTACAGAGTCTCATCAGCTTCAAAATGTTTCAGACAAAAATTAAACATTGAATTGCTTCCTCCATTTCTAGCTAATTCATTACTTTGTTTTTCATAAAAAATAATGTTATCTCTCTATGCGGTACCTAGAAGGAGTGTACAAAAGAAACTTATGATAACAGTACATTGCAATACTGATTTAGAATTAGATGAATCCACATTATGAATCAATAGATCTGTTTTCCTTAAGGACTGGGAATTTACGTTTGATATCGTGGAGACCTTGTAGATTTTATTAACCACTCACCATCTAATTTCAAGCTTCGGGTAAATTTACTAGCTTTGACTTCACAGAAACACTTTGCAGTATCTGGCTTGGTTCAATCCCTTGTTTTGATAATTATACCATATTTTCATCGATGATAAATTCATTGCTTTTTTTAACAAATTAACAACAAACAGCACCATCTTTGTAAATCATTACTGTTTATTAGCCTTTGATGGCTCATATGTGTTAGCAATAATCAGTATGCTTGTTTAATGAAGCTATGAAATCATTGTGTCGATACAAGGACATACGTAGACAAGTTTTTTCTCTCTTCTTTATGTATCTTTCTTCCTTTAACACTTGATATTGCTGGAATTTAAATTTTGAAATCCCAGCAAAACGCAAAAAAGTGATGTCATGAAATTTGATTGCAGATTCAATAGATGCAGAAAGTGCATGGGATGGAGGTTGTCAAGAAATGGGTGGTTTGTTAGCAAGTAAATCAGAATGGATTGTAAATGATGAAGAAGAGCTGCAGATAGAAGCTGAGAATTTTTTCAGACCTGAACGATGTACCTACTTAAATAAAGTAGTGAAGCGTTTGGAAACTTTTCTACCTGTTTGTTCTGGTATTGACTGCGATTCATTAGCAGATGCTGGTTTCTATTATACGGGTAAGTAATGTGTTTTATTTCTGAAGTTGCTATTTTGATATGTCATACAAACATTTATCAAAATGCACAAGTGATATGATAAGCATTGATTTGTGACATATGTTCAGTGTTATATTTTGAATATTTTGAGGTGTTACTTCGTATTTAGTGTACTTTAACATCAGTAATACCCAACATTGTATCAGTGATACTACATACATTATGTCTGAGAACTGTGACCTTAGAGAGTCGTCATGTCTGGATAATATCACGTACTACGTCACTTATCGTCAGCCATAATACTTAATATGGCATCATATTCTGTTTAGAGTTATGCCTCGCTTACAACTTTTCACTCTGCTTGGATCTGTTGGAGTGATGATTAATTTTGTGTGGTGTTTAATGCAATATCATTCTTATACAGAATTAAAAATATTAATGTTGAATATATAATAAGATAAATACTTGGATACAATATTTTTATCTGTTTTAGGGGAGAATATTAGATGCTTTACCTGTGGTGTCGTAATCATTTTTGGGCCGTGTACTGATGATTACTGGGCAGAACATGCTAAAACGAGCCCAGGTTGTTCTTATGTCAGAACACAAAAAGGTGCAGCCTATATCCATCACTTGCTATCCACAGAGGTAAATGTTAAAGCTTACAGTACCCTTTATATTAATGATTATCTCTGGTATTGTATTGTATGCATAATGATATAAGTGAAGAAAAAAACAACAGAAATGAACATTGCTGTTCGTTTCTTACTTTAACTATAAAAAGATTCAGCATTGTTTTGAGTATTTGATAATTATTCCTAGTACATTGACAACATTACATTATATATAGGTAATAACAACCAAGTGATCATTATATATAGGTAATAACAACCAGGTGATCATTATATATAGGTAATAACAACCAGGTGATCATTATATATAGGTAATAACAACCAGGTGATCATTATATATAGGTAATAACAACCAGGTGATCATTATATATAGGTAATAACAACCAGGTGATCATTATATATAGGTAATAACAACCAGGTGATCATTATATATAGGTAATAACAACCAGGTGATCATTATATATAGGTAATAACAACCAGGTGATCATTCAGGTCTTTGAACTTTGTGTTTCATGGTTGTTCATCTGTTATTTCGAGATTGACTGGAAAAATAAAAATAGACAAATTCTCTTTTTTATCTTTTGAGATGGATTTTGTATGTTTTAGACTGCATGTAATCACATTGTGGTCATGGAGTTAGTGCACCTCCCCATCTCGATTTCTGAGTGGCTCCTTTGGTTTTCAAATTTAGACACACAGCATCACTGATTAGTCCTAGAAGGACGAAACAGCTGTATGATGCAATTTAATTCATTATTTGACTCCACTATATTTAATTTGTATAGAAAGGTATCCTTCAACTTTTGTCATGCTTATTTATTGTAATTAAAATTAATGTGCATGATATTTGATGTTTAGCAAGTCTTGTTAATGATTTAATTTTGATAAATATCAGATAACATGCACAGTGATTTAGATTAGTTTGAAATAGTTAGAGATTTGCTACAGGTAAATTCTGAAAGTCACCCGGACGACGTGAAAGGAAAAAGAGCTTTATTGTGCGAAACGTACTTGGATCCTGATGGCTCACGATTTTATGATACAGGTAAAGTATAGCTGTGTAATTATGTCTCCATGCAATAAAAACGTTTCCACAATTATACGTTTCTGTGACGCAACATATCTTGTGTGGGCTTACCTGTATCAGTATACAATTCTTACGTTTACAGTGCATTAGCTCATTAGTAATATGAAAATCCAGATAAATTAACAATGAACAATTATTTGAAACAAAAGAAATTTGCATTTTGTGTAAAGACTGTCCAATAGTTGTGCAAGAACTGGAACAGTGAGCTTCAATAGTGGTAGTCTCTTAAATTTATAGACACATACTTCCAATTAAATATCAGAATAAGGGTTTCTGTGTCAATTTACTGCCAAAGATATATATAGGTATAAATCCTTTGTTCTATTGATATGCTGTTTATGTTTTTTAAAGGTCTGTCCTTCTGTAATTCCTGACAGCGAATCAAGCTTGAGTTTGATATACAGGTGGAATTTGTAAGAAACGCATGTTATCTTACATGTTAACCTAAACCATT